AATCAACAAACAAACATTGGTGACATGGCTCCACAGAGATCTGGCAGTGGGTGGGTTTAGAAAGTGTACATGATGCTAAATTAAAAACAGTATGGAGTAGGATTCATCTTTTTCCAATTTATTTGACAATTCTATAAAATGACTGAACTAACCATGAACTGGGCAATTGCCTTAATGAAGAAAACGCGGTCTTGTTCTGTCTCAATGTCAGAAGGGATGTCAGTCTGTGGCTCATATCTGTCAGAAAGAACAAGCATACATATGCCTTTAATCCCAGCACTCGGGAGGCAGAGGCAGGTGGATCTCTGTGAGTTCAAGGCCAGCCTGGTTTACAGAATGAGTTCCAGAACAGGCTCTAAAGCAATACAGAGAAACCCAACAAAAATAAAAAAAAAAAAAAGAAAAGAAAAGAAAAGAAAAGAAAGGAAGGAAGAAAAGAAAAAGAAAAGGAAAGTAAAGGGAAAGAACAAGCATGAGCCAATCCAAGAGAAAGTCCCTTAAAGTCATGTGTGGAGGTGCACCCCTATAATCTCAGAGTCAGGTTGTAGGGGTACCAGCCTGGTCCATATAGTGAAACCCTAACTAAAATATAACAAAGCCACCAAACAAACAAAACAAAAAAGGTAAATTAATGGGAAACTACGTGATTGAGTATTGCTAATACAAGGTTTTCCAGGCCCCATCCAAGGCAATACAATTAAGCAAAATCTTTAAGAATGAGGCTAAGTGACAGAACACACGATGGCTCAGTGGGTAAACAGGTTTACCACCAAGCCTAGAAATCAGAGTTCAGTCTCCAGGACTTACACAGAGGAGAACTAACCAGTTCTCTAACCTCCTCTTGCATGCTGTGGCTACCATGAACCCAAACACATACATATATTTACCCATGCTTAGCAGGTAAAGGGATTTGCTGTATAAGCCTAGAAACCCAAGTTCAAATGTCAGAACCTGTATAAAGATGGAAGGAGAGAATCAACTCAACAGCCTTGTCCTCTGCCTCCACCTTAGACATGTGTGCCATGATACAAGTGTGGAGATAAATAAGTAATAAAGTATAAACAAACCAAATATGGGACTCAGATTACAAACTAAATCCATCTCAAACTTCCAATTTTTATGGAAATAACCAAGATTTTGACTCAGGCTGGTAGCCCTTGGCCCAAGATAGACACGAGGGCTAAACAATTCACTCTAAGAAGTGCCAGAGTTGTTGAAATTACTTGTTTACTGAGAATTGACTGTGACTCTCAGCATGTATTTGTATAGTCTGAAAGATAAGAATAGTTTTTACATTTTAGAAGCAAAGCAAAGGGGCTGGAGAGGTGGCTTTGAGGTTTAAGAGCATATACTGTTCTTCCAGAGGACCTGCATTCAGTTCCTAGCACCAATGTCAGATGGGTTACAACTGCCTGTAGCTACAGAATAATCAACAGACATCTCATGTAGACTTAATTTTATGTGTAACAAAACACAATATTTACTCTGTGGTTCTTAACACAAAAGGTTGCCAATCCTAATCATAAGGCTTTTTAACACAATGAAAAGTATATTATTTCCTGTTTTAGTTTTAATTATGTGTGTAAGCATGTGCACATTAGTCCCTGACATCAGAGGTGTGAGGTCCTCCCAGAGCCGGAGTTGTGAGTCATCCAACATGAGTGCTGAGAATCAAACTCGGGTCCTCCGCAAGAGCAGTATATGCTCCTACCTCAGCCAGCTCTCCAGCCACATCTATAATATTTTTAATGCAGTATATTCTGAGTGTGCAAGCAGGACCCTGTCATTTTGTGGTGAGAAGTGAAGAGGAGCCTGTGCCAGCACTCTAATGAGGATAGTCAATTTCTTCCATGCTCTTTCAACTCTGGTGATTTCTTTTTTCCTTCCGTCCTTCCTTCCTTCCTTCCTTCCTTCCTTCCTTCCTTCCTTTCATTTTTTTTTTTTTTAAATTTGAGAGAGGGTCTCTCCCAATGTAGTCTGGCTGGCCTGGAACTTGATATATAGGCCAGGTTTACCCTGAACTCACAGAGATCTACTTGCACTATCATGTCTGGCAACTGTGGTGAATTTTTACAAGTTACAACTATGTCCATCCTATGTAGATTGAACTATATTCTTCCTTATGCATCACAAAAATTGTCAGTTCCCAGTTAGCTAATGAATGTGACCAATGATTCATGCTGAGACAGGAATAAAATGCATTCTAACCTTTTCACAAGCCACAGAAGCACTTCAGAGACAAGCCCAAAGTTGGGTGAGCGGAAATTTTCCATAGAAATATGTCGTGGGTATCCCAAGGCTCTCATCATCTCTGTGAAATCTGTCCAATATAAAACACAATTTGGTCAGTCTTTGTTAAATGGCAACTCTTTGGAGAGTAGTTAATCTTATTGTCTCTGCTTTCCCTTCTTATTGGGTCTTCCCAACTTAGTGACAGCTCCAGGTACTAAATCCATCAACTCTGTAAGAAGAAAGGCAAGGTTGTGGGGCTGAAATAAGAAGTTACAGCATCTAGTCCATCACCTGAAAGACACCTAAGTTCAATACAGTAAAATTTTTCCCAAGGAAATGGGGCTTAGGGGATATCTGAGACTGTAATTTCTTTCTGATATCTTTTCTATCCCAAATAAAAACTACCTAGCCTCGTTAAACATCACGAGAAAAAAAAAATGCTAATCATTATTTATGGGCAGGCCCAGGGTAGGGTGAAATTCAAGATTATACAGTGTGTGTGTGTGTGTGTGTGTGTGTGTGTGTGTGTGTGTGGTTTTTCCAAGTGAGCATATACGATTTTCATGACATAAATTTCAAAGATCAGTTACTTCATATTCAGAGAAACATTAAGAGAATGGTTGAATTATAATACATTATTTGGATTTAATGTAAAAGCAGACTAGTAAAAGGTAATATTATAAATTGGGGGCACCTGAAAAACAAGTTACACTGCTTGGAAGGAAGCAGACAAAAACAAAAATGACTTAGAAATGAACACACTGCTGGGTGTTGGTGGCACACACCTTTAATCTCATCACTTAGGAGGCAGAGGCAGGAGGATCTCTGGGAGTTCAAAGCCAGCCTCCTCTATAGAGTGAGTTCCAGGACAGCCAGGGCTATATAGAGAAACCCTGTGTCAGAAAAAGAACACAACCAAGCAGAGGCAGTTGGATCTCTGTGGGTTCAAGGCTAATCTGGTTTACAAAGCAAGTTCCAGTATAGCTAAGGCTGTTGTTAAACAGAGAAACGCTGTCTCAAAAAATCAAAACGAGTCCCCATAATATGCTGTGCTCTTGAACATGTTTCCTGGCTGTGCAATGCCTACTCATGTTTCTTGAAGACAGCTATTCAAAACGTCCTGTTGACAATTCCAAATAATCTACTCAGGCAATAAAACAGGGTGGACTGCACTAGATCGTGGGAGAAAAAGATGGTAGAAAACAAGTGGTAGTCTCCCGATCCAGTCAGGCTTTGCCCAAACACTTCCTTACATTAAGCAGAACCTGTCACATTCTCCATTGTTAGATGGGGACAGAGTCTCATACATTACACAGCTATTCAATATTTATTTAGGGTAAACATTCTGAAATGCTCTCCTTGAATACTTTTTCAGTTCACCAAATATTCTCAAACTCCAGAAGACACGATTCACTCCAGGTTGATCCTAGTAGCTGCTACTTTTCTCCAAGTGAGGCAAGATTTTGGGTCACACAGTCCTTCCTGTCACTCTTCCTAACTGTGTGAACCAAAAAGGGTGAAATGTAACAGATGTTCTCCAAAGAGTAGTGGCTAATATAGACATTCCACTTTCCCACTCTCCGGCAAAGTTCTCTCTCCGTATTTGGCTTTCTACCTCCAAAGCTGCTTGTTCTAGCTATTACCTGTCCAAATTACTTTGGCCTCTTGTTGCCTGTTTCCTCATCTCTGGACACAGGGCACAAGAATTGCCTAGGAGTAAACGAAATAATGCCCACAAAGAAAACTGTATGTGACAGATCGTAAAAACAAACAAACAAACAAACAAATCCTCAAAAATGAACAACATCCAACGACAAAAAACTAGGAGCTACAGCCATTCATCCAATCACCTTCTTGGTGTTATTGTTTCTTTCTACAAAGAGTCTAACACAGAAACTTTGCCATTTCTTATGACCTTTCTAATGCGGCTGCGAATGTGGCTGTGACAAACTAAGATAAAATGAAGTAAAATTAAACACATTCAGTTCCTCAGCCGCGAGACACATTCTAAGTGTTCTAGCCACACGCGGCCTGTGACTGACAGAACTTTCCAAAGGTGCTATAAAGTTCTGTCAGGCCTAGCTAGTCTAGGGCTGGGGACCATTGGTCTGACTGAGCCAATGGCTCAGGCAGGGGAGCCCTGAGTTTCTGGGAAGCCCACGGGAAAGCCGGGTGTAGCCTTACTGCGGAGGTCGCGGAAAGACATGGTGCTTTGGGCCCCAAGAGTCCACTGGGGTGCGGCTGCTCGCCTCTTTGGAGTTCGCAGGCCCAGCGCTCGCCGGTCTCTATAGCAACCCGTAGTGCTCTTGGACAGCGTCCGGTCAGGGACAAACAAGACCGGAAGCTATGAGGTGCAGTGCGCGCACGCGCATGGCACTGACCAGCAGGTGGCGCCTCGCACCGTTCATTGAGCTCTTTTGGCTCCGCTCCTGTTGTGACTCTCATTGTCTCATTTCTTTAGAGAGAACTATCACCTTATGTAACCGATTCTCCTTCGTATTTGTAAAAACATAGCCAGACCCCACGGGCGAAGCGGATTAAGTAGCCATAAAATGACGGGAACGAAGGTGTGCTACCCTCGGCAGAATTGGAGAACTGCACCCGGAGGGATTTCATACTCGTACAGGCCGGAAATCAGTTTCCATACCCTTGCGCCAGCAGTTGTCCTGAAACTTCGCTATGTCTAGGGCTGGAGCGGTAGCGCGGGTGTATCATACCCCAGTGTGTGTACCCCAGTGTGTGTTGTGGGGTGGGGGGACAGCCCACGCTCAGCAGGAAATGGTGGCTGCTATGGGGACAGCCACGATAGAGGACTGGGAAGAGAAGAAATGAGCAAAGCCAAGAAGGGTGGGCGAAGAGAAAGGCAAAGACCCAAGATAGGTAGGCACAGGATGTAAAGGTGCCCTTGACCTGGACATTGTAGTGCAGACTAGGAGAAGAAGCTTAAGGACTTAGTGTGTGGAATAGGGCCACACATTTGTGGCTAGCCCAACATAGGTTATAATGCATTTGGACAGAATCATCTTTGCAACAAATGGTTTTGGGACAATGAGAAATCCACAGCAAATAAATGAAACTCCACTATTATCTATATATAATAAAATGGTTCATAAACCTAGATGTAAAACATGGACTAAATTTTTTATAATGAAATCTGAAAGTTTTGTGACTGAGTTGATTCCAAAGTAGTTGTTTTATATTTCCACCATCAAGACAAGTTTCAGTTTGTCCATATGCTTAGGGGAAAAAGGGTGGGGGTCATCTACATACTGCCTAATAACTTGTGAGAAAATGGACAATTACACAAGTGTCACCCAGAACCACCTCCTCAGCATGATTCCAATCCCTCCAGGTTTGTACCCCAAACCCTTTCTCCCAAACACAGATGAGGAAGCTGAGGCCCCCTAAAGATCACCCCATAAAATAACTTTAAATTATGCTAGAGCTATACATTTTTATGTGCCTTGCCCTGAATCTGAGAACCAGTGAATTTATTGTAGGTTTCTAACACCTCCCCTTTCCCTCCTCCCTCCCTGCCCCTGACCTGATAACTTCCTCTCCCAAACTAAGGGATCCAAGAAGATTAGTCTTTACTGTGACATCATAAGAACAGTTGCCTTGGGAGACCTGCAGACCCACCTCCTAGGCAGGGGAGAGCAGGCCCTGCTGCACACAAGGCCTGGCCACTCCTCCCCCATCATACTGGCCCTCCATGGAAGCCTTGGTCTGTGCATTCTCTGAGCTTCGAATAAGAGAAGGTGCCTGGCTGCAGGGAGGAGCAATAGCAGAGATGACACTCTGTCCTAACCTGGGCCCAAGGCTACGGGAGATCCCAGAGACACGCATGCCTGGGAGGGGAGCAATTTCCGACCTAGGCTGTACGACTCTTGTACCCACTTTGCTTATACTGGCTCCAGCATACTCTTTCTAGGATAGAGGGCACAAAAAGGGGCTTGAAGTTCTGAAAGAGCTCAGTGCCTAAGTCCTGAGCTTCTTAAGCTCCTTTGTTAGGGGAGCAGAGAGGAGAAATGAGAATAGACAAGAACTGAGGTTGGATAGCCTAGGGGTGGAGCCTATCATATAAGCTGGTACCTGCATTTTTTACCCAGATACTGGGCCCACTGGCCACCACCCTCCTACTCTCTGTCCTGCAGATGCAGTGAGCTGGGCCCCAGGACGCCCCAGCCACCCTGACACACCACCCAACATCTATGAGGGAGGGCTGGGGGCCCAGCAGCAGCAGGGCCCTGGTGCCCAGGGAAGCAAGCCTAAGAACTTCCGATTGCGTCACCTCAGGAGCCTCGCTCTCTACCTGCCAGGCCACATGCAGCCTGCTGGTCAATGTGGAAGCCACTGGCTAGGCCGGCTCATGGCTGGAGGCAGCCTGCCACGGCCTGAAGGCTTGGCCTGGCCCCTGGACCTGCCACAGGGGACCCTGGGTCCAGGTAACAGCCATTGCTCAACCCTTCTGGAAGCCCAACTGCCCAGGGACAGCCTGGGAAATACAGGTGAGCTCTGTTAAGGACTACAGACATGAGGGAAAGACTCATGGGAACTCAGACGGGCCTCTTCCAGTCCCCAGCCTTTGCCAAGAACTAGGAAAGGACACAGTGGCCAGGACACACTAAAGTAATGTCATGCTCCAGGGGCCATATCTTGTTGAATTTTTCCAGCTGTGTGCCCCACTATTGATTTCGCACCATGGATGTACACTCTGAGTTCTATGAAATATCAGGGGTGGTAGTGTGCAACTGGACCACAGCTGGAGCCTGCTGGGATGAGGGGTGTAAGGCAGAGACAATCTGGGACCAAGGGTCCTGGGTTCCAATCCTCGTTCTGTATTTTGATGGGCCTTGGGCAACTCTCCCTCAGTTCATTTTACAAATGAAGGGTTCATGACATTTTCAGCTTGATCCATGATGTCACTTTTTTCCCCCTACCCCACTAGTTCTGTCAAGGATGTAGCACCAAATTCTTCCATTGTCTTGAAGGTTATAAGGTCCGAGGACACCAAGGTAGGGTTTCAGATTGGGTCCCTGAGTGACTTCTCTTTCCTTTTTCCTCAGCTTCCAGTTCCAGCATGGACCCAGCCAAGGGTGTCCCCTCCCAGTCTGGTCCCCCTGAGGGCTTGGGACTCAGGCCCAAGAGGTCCTGGAGAGCCTTGGAGGAGACCATGTGTCCCTTGTGCAAGAGAACCCGCTCTGGGGCCTTGGAGAGGACATAAGGATCCAAAGTGCCAGGGCTGGGGATAGTAGGGGAAGGATGGCCGAGGAGGAGGAGGCCAGGTTTACTGAGGAAGGGTTCAGTCCCAGCAGCCACCCTCCCACTGAGATGGCCCCCATAGTTGCCCAGCACCAGACCTGGGTTAGTCTGGGGAAAGTATGAGGGAGGGAGGAAGTCGTCCCATGGGGGGGACAGAAGAAATGGAAGCATGCCTGTGCCCTTGCAGCCTGCCCAAACTCCGGTCAGCCACTTGTACCTGGGAGGCCAGGCCGAGCAGAGAATCTGGTTCCTGAGAGACTAGGTAGTCCTCAGGTCTAATCTCAGTAAAAGCCAAGGCCTGCACCTTCTTGTCTATTTGTTATCAAGTCAATCCAGTCAAACCACCCTGCATCCATTCCGGCTTTCCTGGTTACACGGAGAGTCATGAGCCAGGTTCAAGGAAGGTTTGTGGGTGAGGAGATGCTGAACATGGTAGCTCCAGAAGGCAGGCAGGATCTCATTAGGCCTGAACACAGGGCATGACATTCCATGGACAAAGAGATGAAATGTGGATTTGGTTTAAACAGAGAACCAGTAGGCAGGTATGCTGGGCTGGACCTGACACTGCCCCATGGAGGAATTAGATGAATTTATGGCCCCAAAGGAGCCCATCTGCACCACCACTGGCCTTTTTCTACCTGGACTAGACTTCCTGGTACCTGGGTGTTGACAGCCTTTGGTGTTAATATTTGGGACTAGATTGTCTTTTTTGGCCCATTCTGTGCCCTGGAGGATGTTTTGTAGCCTCCTAGGATGTCAGCAGTACCCTCCTCCACGTTGTGACCACAAATTGTCTCCAGACAACATCCACTGGAGACATACCCACTCTGGATGGGAGCAGAGCCAAGGCCTCTGCTGACCATGTGCCTACATTACCCTTGGAGCATTCTCTAAGTTCTGATGGAGATGGAGGACAGAAGGGTGGGGGAAGGAATGATAGTTTCCCACTTGGACCAAGTCCTAGTTCAAAGCTGAGAGCCAGGGTGCTGGTAGGAACTGACAGGTACCTGCTAAGATCTTTAAGAAACAGCCCAGGACAGTTGCCTGAATGCCTGAGCCACCAGGAAGACAGCAGCAAGCAAAATCCCCAGCCCTCAGCCCTCAAGGGCAAAACACAAAGTGTAGAGAGCCAGTTACTAGACACAGGCTGAGACCAGTGAAATTATTTATTTGTTTGTAACGAGACTACACACTACAATTTGTTCAACACTGGGCTGGACACTGCAGTAATTATGGGACAGGAGGGGGGGCAGACAGGTTGAGGCTTTTGAGTTGGATTTAAGAAATGTCCAAGTCAGAACCTCCTGGAAGGCTCTTGCTTGACCACACAGGGCAGAAATGAAAATCACATGATCACCGCTGACTGAAAAGGGAACACAGGGATGGGGCCTCAGCACACAACTGAAACCAGTCAGGGCACTGGCCACCTGCCGGCCAGTTCTGTTGAGGAAGGGAAATGTTTTTCCTGCCTTGGCCTCACTGCTTTGTGAGGACCATTCTCTGAGGCCAAGCAGCCATGGGCTGGCTCTGGGGCCTGAAGGTCCCAAGCCAGGAGATGCTTCGGGAGGGAAGCACTCAGTAATGAGGCCTGTCAATAGAGCTGTTCCTAATCAGTCTGGCACAGTGAGGGGCTGTGAGGGAGCCCCGTTAGGGCTTCTGTGCAGCAATGTTGGGCAGGACTCTGGCAACAAACATTTGGGGGCGGAAGGGAAGGGATGCTGCAAGTATAATTCACGGTACTGACAAGAGCCTCTGCCTCAGAGGCTCAAGGTCCACAGGCACAAACTGCCTTCTGCTCCCAAGTCCCATGGGTCAACAGTAGCAGAGATACCCAATGCAGAGCTCAGCCTCCTCCTGTCTGCATGTGGCCAGGCCTTGAAGCTTTCAGGTTCTAGAAGGATGAGCAAGGAAGGAACCCAGAAGCCAACAGCTACCTGTCCCTGGTCCAGCTCCCAGTGTAGGTCAGCTATATGGAGCATGCCAGGATTCAACAGGCAGGATGATCCTTCTGGGCAGTAGGAAGTGGGTAGCAGGAGGCCTGAGAACAGGGAACTGTCCATCTAACTATCTATGGTGAGGGCTGATTCCTGGAGTTTTAAGTTCTCCTGAAGGGCCAGCCCCACTCTTCCTCCCCAGTCACCAGCCTTTCATGGAGGAGAACAAGTTTCTTTAGGGCATTCCTATACAAAAACCTGGCATTCGCTTTTCTGTGCCTCTTTATTCTAACATTCCTGTGTCTTCAGGGTCAAAGACATCCACATTCTTTTCACAGCAAAGTTCAGTCCATTTTGTAGGAAAGATGAAGGAGCAGGAGGCAGAGGACAGGCCTGGCAAGCCCTATTCCAGTGAATGTAGCCAACACCTGCCAGGCCATTGGGATGGTGCCTGTGCATAGAGGCAGAACAAGGGCTCCAGGTGGAAGTTTCCAGAAGCAGGAAGGAGAGCCTGCAGGGAAGAAAGCAGGGCACGTGAAGGTACTACAAGATGCTTATCTACTGCACTCTCTGGCCTATTTGCTTTCGCTGAGTCAGGAACCCTTGTCCGCCTCACAATCTATGAGTGGCCAGCAGACTCCCTGGAACTTTACAGATGCCAGCACTGTCAGATTCACACCTGGATGTGTGTATCAAACCTTAATGTGGATGGTCAATGGAATGGGCTCTGCAGTACCCACACTTCTTCTATGTCTGGAATTCTTTGTTCCCTTGGATTGGGAGACCAGCTCTCAGCAACCAAAATGGTTGCATCATCCAGGCATAATCTTATTCTTACAAGCTGTCAGCAGGGGAAACCCATAGAGGGCTTTGGACAATGCCACCTGGAGACGCACAGGTAACAATACTGGTGCTAAGAGTGGAAGTCTGGGTACAGTTCTGAGGAGAAGCAGACATGGATCACAGATCACTGAGTGCCTCTTGTAAGGAAAAAGGAAGTAACTGTGAGCTCCAGCTGCTTGGGCTTTCTGTACATTTCCAAGGTTTGAATCATATGAATCCATCATTTTAACAAAAAGGCAAAGAAAACTTTGTTCAGGCCCTGGGGGAGATGGCTCAGTGGTTAAGAGCATTTGCTGCTCTTTCCAGAGGACCAGGGTTCAATTCCCAGGATCTACATGGCACAAATGCCTATACCTCCCGTTCCAGAGAATCCAATGCCCTCAAATTTATCTCAAAAGAGAAATAACATTAAAAGAAAAAAAAATAAAAAGCCACTCAGAGGCTGGAGAGATGGCTCCATTGGAAAAGTGATGCTACATAAACATAAGGACCTGAGACTGAGCTCTAGCACCCACATAAAAAGCCTGGGTAGGAAGCTGAGAGACAGAGACTAGAGTTGTCTGAGGCTCACTAGCTAGCCAGTGCAGTTAAATCAGTGAGCTACAAGTTCCAGGAGAAACCCTGTCTCAGAGTAAGGTGGAGAATAACTGAGGAAGACAGTCCACGCTGAGTCCTGTGCTCCACAAATGTGCACATGTGTACACACACACAGTCTAGGGAGTAAAGAGCTCTGTCAAGTGGTTCACGGTCTTTGGTCCCTCGCTCTTCAGGATGCTTCTGGACCCACTGTGTACTTCTCACAAGTACCTGCCTAGAGACTTCTTGTAGTGCCGGACTCCCCAGGCCCTACCATCTGTTCCTACCTGTTCAAGACCAGGCATACACTCTGCTCCTGAGCCAGCATAGCACCGGGCCTGCAGCTGGGGCAGGCTGATGGGCTGGCAGGTGGCCACCAGCTCCTTGCAAAGGACAGCAGAAGTCAGACAGACAGGAAAATAGGCTTCACAGAGTGCTAAGGACAGAGGCCTCGGGGAGGCTGCCCCAGTGGCATCACATGGTACGGCTGTATTCGATGCCACCTTTGGTGGAGATACTGGACCATGGCAGAAAGCTGCAAAGCAGGCTGTGGGCCTGGCGGTAGATCCTGTGTGGGATGGAGCAGGGACTCAGGTTGGCTAGTGCTGAGCCCAGGTGCTGGATGTAGTCTGTGGGTTCTGTCAAAGAAGATACAGTCGCGCTGCTATCTGCCTGGCCTTGCCTGCATGCAGCATCCTTGGAGTCTAACCAATGACCTACAGCATTGTTCCCACATGGCACAATAACTCACCTAGAGGGCAGGGGCCTATTAGACCTTAGAAAATACTAGAAAAGCCCATTAAGTAGACCATCAATTTGGAAAATAACACAGAGTAGAGCCATTTGAGACAATCACGATAATACGATAATCACCATAAGGTAATTAACAAAGACAGGGAGGACCTACAGAAGTGTTCCTAGTTCTCCAGAGGGACAGAGCCCACCCCAACAAGGAGATGTTTCAACACTGCTAACCCCTGGGTGCTCATACATGCCTGACTTCATGTAAGCTAGGCCTATGGAGCTTAGGGTAACCTCTTTCCTGTTCTACTTCCCTCTAAACTGAATCATTCCTTCAAAACACCCATGGGTACATGTGGTATATTCTGGTTATTACCTCATGGCAGCTAGGACATCTGGTTTCCTTTCCACCTAACAAGGACACGATTAGAGGAGAGAATTGGGGGTGGATGCAACTCCATGAGGAAGGTCTTAACACAAGTGTATTCTGCCATTGTTTGCATCACAGGCTTACGGTGGGTGGGATTTGAATCTGCTATGTTTACTGTTGACCCCTAGAATAGGAGACTTTCCATATTTCTTAAGTGGACGTATCGATCCTGGGTCCAAAGAGTTAAAACCTAACCTCCCTGCTAGGATAAAGCTGCCAGGGAGTGCCAGTTTTCCTAATATATGTAACCAGGTGCATTAGACTATTAGACCCACCCCATACCCTGAGCTACTCAAGGAACAACACTGCAAAGCTAAGCCAGTGACTGTCACCTGAAGGTCGCCACAGTTTCAGCTGACCCTCAGTTCTTCTAACCCTCTAGCCAGGAAACCACAAAGCCTTCTCCTATTCTCTTCCAGCAGTAAAGGATATAAGATGGTCCAGGGAGGGTGGCCGCCATTGATGTAGAGAACATAGGTGAAGCCATCTTTGAGGACCCCTCGGATGGAGTAGTAATAGGGCAGATAGTGATGCTGCTTAAAGTCTCTGTTTTCATAGAAGTTTATTGCTGTATTATTGGTGGTGAGGACATGTAGATAGATGGCTTTGCAGTGGTCCTGGGCAGTGGTTGAAATATGATCCTTTAAACTTTCTAGTAAAAGGGAACCTGGGGAAAGGAGAGGAAGGTTTCCCACAGCAGGGCAGTTAAGAGGGTGTAGATAAAGCCACAGCTTCTGCAGGAGCCTAGAGGAATATGCACCCAGGTCTGAAACCAGCCTCTGGTCACCTCCCACTGTCAAAGCTCCTAAAAGGTCCTAGCCAAACAGAACCATGAACTGCAAACTACTGTGAACCACAGATGTATCCTGGAGGTGCTATGGGTCCGTGGGGGATACTTACCAACCTTTCAGACAACAACAAGTGTAAACCAGAACCCAGAGGATGTGAGAAAGACACCCTGGGTTGACTTCTCACTGCTGTGTGGTGTGGAGTAGGGTGAGAGTTTGAGGACTATATCTGATGAATGCTGGAAACTGCTAATTCTTCATTTGTCTATGGTTCTTATTCTAAACTGAGAACATCTTGCCAATATACATGACTATGTCTGACAACACAGGAGAGGTAAGGGAAGTCTAGCCCTTCCTGAGGCTGTCCTCGCAGTTGTTGCTGATCTGCTCATGACAGATTTGGGAGGGATGTAAAAAGATGAAGGCTAGTGGGGTGGGGAGATGCACTAGGAGGACATTTATCTGTCCCAAAATTCGGGAAAGGAACTGAAGACCTCAGAAGTAACTGATTGGGGGGGGGGGGACTTTGAGGGAGGGCAGCAGCAGTTCAAACCATGAGCTTTCTGCCTCTTACCTATGCCGTGTTTTCTGAATTCTTTCACTACGCCCAGACTTAGAATGTATGCAACTTGTGTATCCACAGAGAAGCTGGAGGCTAGAATATCTCCATCCTAAAGGCAAAGTTAGAGATAAAGTCAGGGCAACATGGAGTATATAGGCTCAAAGCAGAAGCTGCCTGGGTTTTGAGTCCACTTTCCATATCCTGACATGTATAGCCACAAAGTGGGAGGGATAGAACAAAGAGAACAAAGGACACCCCCTCACCTGCAGAAACAAGATTTAGGCCCTGCTGGCAGAATGCTGCTACAGTGAGAACACACCCATGAGGAGCTGCTCTTGGGGATGGTGGGTTGGATGAGTACTTTATGCCAGAACCATTCCAATAGGTTAAGACAATGGCTGGTAATGGGGACGTAGCTAAATAGTAGAGTGCATGTCTGGCAAACACAGGCCATTGGTCTGATCCCACCACAAAAGAAAAACAAAAAGAATATGACTGTCCAGAGTAGTCACATATAGGCTGTCAACAAGTAGTGACAGTCACCATGATGTGAGACAGCTGACAAGTGAAAAGCTGCATTCCATTTATTTGTGTCAGGGCGTACAGGTGCAACATCGCTGTGGGGAGGTCAGAAGACAACTTTTATATTTTTTCTTATTTTACATGTCGATCCCAGTTCCCTCTCCCTCCCTTCCTTCCTCCCTCTCCCCCTCCCTCCCTCCCTCCCATACCTCCCAAACCCCCTCTCAACCCATTCCTCCCCGCACTCCACAGGGAGGGTAATGCCCAGAAGACAACTTTTAAGAGTTGGTTTTCTCCCTGTTCCATGTGGGTGCTGGGAACTCAGGTTTTTACTACTGAACCACATCACCAGTCCAAGGGCAAAGTTTTATAAAGAAAAACATGCTGTCCCTGATGACCATGCAAAGCAGGTTAAGACAGCTATCTATCCTGCTCTGCTGCCCATGCTGGGCAGAGTGGTACATTGTGATGTACTGCTGCACTGTGCTCCACGAATATTTCTTGTTATAGACACAAACACCCCATGAATCATACTCCTGTTATTCCAACCTCTTAGTAACAAGAAATACCTGCCATTTGTAAGGTTTTTTTTTTTTTTTTTTTTTCCTTCCAAGAAAGGATACTGGGCAACTGGACTTTACTATTTTCCATTTACCAAGTAGTCCTATATGTTAGGCATGTGCTGGACCAGGCCCTGCTCCCAGACTCTGCTTACCACTCCATACTACAGTGAACCTGGACACAGCCAACTTGGGGAGGGAATAAACTCACTGCTCTAGTTAACAGAAGCTCCTAGACTAACGATGCTAGTCAAAATGCTAGACAAAAGAAGGGCCCCCAAGTCTGTGGAAAGGGTAAGCATAGATAGTCAAAAGACTCTCAGCTAATGTGCATGGTGGAAGTGGACAATCACTAAGAAAAAGCCCCAAGGAGAGATCACAAGGTCTGGGCAGGTGAAACTATCCAATACAAGATAGCAGACCCAAGGGATACTGGTCCTTGCTTTCTCAGCAATGAATAATATGAGGCAGTATCTCAGGAGGAAGCTGGGCTAGACAAAACAACCAACAAACAATGTGCCAAGATAAACTTATGTGAAATGGGGTAACCTTTAGTAGTCTGGGTTCTTAGAAGACATGTTTCTTCTACTAGGAATGGGACTCAGGGCCTCCTGAATATTAGGCAAGCAGTCTGCCACTGTGCTGCAGCTCCAATCTCACTTCCTGCATTTTTAAAGAAATAACCCCAAGCAAACTGGGTGTGGGGTGCACACCTTGGACTCCAGCACTTGAGTGGCAGAGTCAAGTGGATCTGAGTTTCAGGCCAGCTAGTACACAATGAAACCCTGTCTCCAGATGGATGGATAATAAACAAATGGAAGGAAAGCAGGCAGGCAGAAAGGAGAAAGAGAAAAAAACAAGAATAACCTCAAGCCAAATACAATTCTTTGCTGGTTGATGGGATCCCCTTTCCTTAAGTAAACAATATTGCTCTATTGCCATGACCAAAATCACCAGGACATGGCTAATGGAAATCAACCACAATCATGGTTTACAGCCATGGCCTTGCCGTCTGCACTGAATGCGGTCACCCAGATTCTTGACATATACATAAATACTAGTAACATCTTTAGAAAAAAAGTCCATGTATTCACACCTACATACAAATAAACCAACTAGATAAGAGTGTCGTTCACTGCTTTGATTCCTTAAGTCATAAGGTGCTGAGATACAGGCCAGAGCTGGCAATGTGACCTCATTGCAACATCCCTTTTCAGTTGCCACAAGGTTCAAGTCGTCGTGGCACAGACGTACCTCTTTATGTATTTTGGTCCTGTTCTTTATTTCAGCTACTATCATTCCCACAATGGCACCTCTGTAGGTTGCAGCAAGAGAGAAAAACTTCTTGTTGGATGTGATATCACGATACCATGAGTCTGGGTACCTGAAGGAAAGAGCATACTCCAGTGAGTCACAGGGACCCTGGGCTGCTCTGCCTATCACTTCTAGTCTCTAGGAGCCCCACTGCTGTCTTCTCAAAGTAGCCATCTGTCTACATGGGAATTTTTTTTATGTAAAAGGTGTATAAAACATGCATTTTTTTTTCTAATGTAGAAGGGGGGAAACCCTCCAATGAAACTATCTCCACAGATAGTTCCTGGAGGGACAGAACAAGGCAGCCTGCTCCTCAGTGTGAGCTGAGATCCTAGGGCCCTCAGTGACTTGGGTAGCCTATGAAGAATTCTGTGAGGACTGGTGAGATGGCTCAGCAGGTGCAGATGCTTGCAGCTAAGGCTCAAAACTTGAGTTCAATACCCAGGACCCACAAAGTGGGAGGAGTGAACTGATTCCTGCAAATAATCCTCTGTGAGACATTTCAGCACCAAAGACCAGGCAAGGTGATTCAAGGATGAGCCAAAGTTCATGAGTATGTAGCGTAGAGTTTACAGTATCTTTCTAGACATGGGTAGGGACATGACACATGGCTAAGGGATAAGAGAGGCTAACAGGCTAGCAGCCAGGTACTTGAGCAGTGTACAGGCACAACTCAGTGTGGCTACTTACAACCCCAGATAGTCCTCAGCAGGGCCTTATCGCTGTACTTCCTGGCACTCTTATTTCTTGGAATTACTTCCAGTAGTGGCATTGCTAACTTGAAGGATAGTTTATGTTTTATCTTATAATGCACTGTTAGCCAACATTCCTAAGAAGTTGGTAATTCATATTTCAACAGAGACATATGGTGTCTCTTCTCTGCTGTCATGGAGTAACAGGTGTTAAGGCGAGGAGTCACGAAATACCAATGACTTAAAAGATCCTACTGAGCTTTAACATTTCAAAACTTGTTTCTGTTTTTCTCACTAAAAAACTTTTTCATATACAATAGTCAAGAAATAAAACAAGTAAAAACACAGAAACCCACAGGTACTAATAATTCACTCTACCCCAAAATGCTGAAAGTACTTAATTTAGTAGTACTGTAGGGGCTCAGTAAATAATCCCCACAGTGCAGGTCTACAGTCGAACCTTTTGAGCCTCCTGTCTCTTGTTTCTCATTCTCTCCCCTAAGGTAAGCCAATCTGATTTTCTGTGCAGGAGGTAGCCATGAAGAAATTCTTTGTCCTATCTTGTCTGATAGTAGGTCTAATATTTTTATTAATCTTGATTGTCAGCTTGATTAGATTGATAAGAGCCTATGAGATTAGTACAACAAATTTCTGAGTGTGTCTGTGACTGAGGGGAACTGCAAACTACTGGGAAGTGTAGAATCACAGCAGGTGGGGCTCAGCTGGAGGAAGCAGGTCACTCAGAGCATGATTGTAGGGGCAATAGCTTACTTGTGTGGCCTTCTAGGTTACTACTTCCTTTATTCCCTGCCCACTGTAATGGGAGCTGCCCTTCCCCCACCCCCCAAGCCTCTCTGCCACAATGGTCTGAAAGCTCTGAAATGGTGTGGAAAATAAACCTTGTCAGCCTTAAGTTGTTTCTGTCAGGAATTTTGGTGACAGCAATGATAAAACAAACACATCCTTGTTCCAGGAGGGTCCTACCTTATACCTAAAGAGGGACAGCTACAGAGAGTCTGAGTGGAATCTAAGCAGACGGCCTCACTGTGCGCTCCACCTTCAATCTATTAGGTATGGATACTCTGTCTAATAATCTCTATATGACAGTCCATGCTTCTTTGAACCTAAGCACAGAAATGGAGAACTCACCACTGGCCTTTAGATTCTTAATATAAAGGTCGAACAAATGTGTTATTCTCTTCTCCTGCTAACATGTCTTTTGTTAAAATGTTGGTCATGATTCTCATGAAGGGCAGGGTTGTCTTCCTTCCTCCACAGTACACGGGGGGGGGGGGGGGGTTATCCTAGACATATTTTTTAAATGAAAGTAGAATATGGTATGCATTTGCTCTCTGGTCTGCTTTCACTTAATATTTGGTAAAAACAAAGAGGAAGGGAGGGAAGGAATTTTGTCAAAAAATACACTACTTTAACAGATTTTGTTCCTGCACAACTATGACCTTTGTAAATGCAGGGTGTTCCCATACAGCCCACACTGGCTTAAAATGTACTATGTAGCTCAGGCTGGCCTTGAACGAGACCTTTTTCTGCTTCCACATCCTGAATTCTAGCATTCTAGGTATATGCCACTATACCAGCAACACTGCATTTTTATACATACATATCCTAATGTATCTAACCAATTTCTTACACTGAAGTTGGTCCTAAATTTCCTGGTTACAGGCAGCATTGGACGTCTTTGTAAGTTAAATTTCTCACAGGGCCTTTTAAAGAAGGTGAGCAGTGGCCCAATATGGAGGTCTGAGGCCCACTACATGGTTGGTCAACTTTAGATAGCAACTATGGACCATTATTGTCCTGCCAGACCCACTGCTGCTTCTTCCAGGCTCGGGAACCAGATCTGTGCATCCCAGCCACTGGGAATACAGTGCCCAACACTCACTCAATGGGGAACCAGTCGCCACACAGGTTCTTCACAGTATCTATGTCATCGTGGCAGAGGAGGCGCAGGCTGACCTCGCTGAGGGCACTGGAAGGCACCACCTCTGTCATTCACACCTGTGGGGAGAGGAGACAGCATCACCTGGAGGCTTGCTTACCTGTTCCTTCTCTAAACTAACCCAGGAGGTGGGTGAGATAGGAGATTGCTAAGAGCTTCCCATGATGGAGAGAATGTTCTTGTGTGGTTGCCTCCACTCTGCAGATGAAGAGCTGTTTGTCTCTGATCCATGTCTCTTCTCTGCTTGAGCTTTCCCCCAGAGTGACCACAGCTCCTGCCTGGCTGGTCTTTTATCTCTTAACTGCTGCCCCTTCACTTGGAGGAGGCAAATGATTCTAGCAAGTCTGACTCTGGCTGTGTCAAAGACAATGTGGGCTTAGCAAACCCCTTCCAGCAGTCTGGTGGATAGGACCTAGTGAATGACCAGACTATTAGGGCAAATGGCACTGGCTTCACTACCAGAAAGTCACATACTGCCTCTCCTCCATGTCTAGCAATAGAAACTTTCAGACATTGAGAGTATTCAGATTTCGGGGTGGGGGTGAGGTGGGGGGAGGATCACACCCATGGCTAAGCTGCCAGCCCTGTCTTAAGTTTGACACAAGGTCTCTTTAAGTTGTCCAGGCTAGTCTGTGTGGCCTAAGCCTAGGGAAGTCAAGTCCTGAACTCTGCCATAAGAGAAAACAGCCACTCTTTTTCTTTAAGTTGGAAGCAGGTAATTCAAAACAAAAGGAGGATACATTTATCCTATCTTTTTGGGAGGAACTGTGTTGTTCACCTCCCATGGCTTTACAGAATGACCAGGTTAAAGTAGAAATGCTGACAGATTCAGGGTCATCACTGTGGATGATCAAGAGGAAATCCAAGTCCAATAAAACTCCTCAAAGAGTATAAGATCATCAGGGGAGAGCTGCTGAGGGGCAGGTACAGGCACAGACACAAAGTACTTAGCACCCAGGACTCAGTGTGTACAAACAAGGGTAGGCCCCAAGCCAACAGGCCAATCTCTCCAGTGTCCTGTGCCTCTGGCTATGACCAGCAGGGCACCACCAAGCCTTTGGGAGTTCTGAAAACTGCTAGACCTAGCACACAGCAGTAAGGGAAGTGGCACCCAAATGACAGACACTCAACCTTTTGCATCAGATCTTCTCTTAAGGCCAATGACATTAAAGATATAAAAGTAAATCAAAGAAAAAAATTTAAAAAATGAAAAGACACAAGGGGATCTAGAATCAAATGTAATGCCTAACCCTGTACCATGAAAAAGAAAATCAAAACATTTAGTGACCCTTAAACACAGGCTGGCTGGTAGATGGAAGGTATTAGGAAACAACTGTTAATTTTCTTGATGAGGTAGAGGTCCCACAGGACAAGGTCTTCCTTGCTGAAACATTTTCGAGCAAGGTATCCTGGTTTCTACTTCCTGGTTTTTGTTGTTGTTTGTTTTGTTCTGATTGTTTTTATATGTGGTGGAATTGCAACAATCCTGGGTCAACCCTGGGAGCCCTGGGCCTCAAGGCAGCTCTGGGCTCCAACTTCTCAGCCATGCCTGCAGGAAGATTTAAAAACCTTCCAGCTATGATACAAGCTGGAAACTTCTACAAGATCAGTTCCACATGTTTCTCTCTGGGCTAGGCATGCTCCTCTGACATTTGTCAACAGCATCTTTCATGCAAACTCCTCTCTGACAGACTATAAATGCAAAGTGTGTGCCACCTCCCTCACCCAGCATTGCCTTCAACTTACGGACCTGTGTCTGCTGCCTCCTGCTTCCCTCCAACAGCCCTTCCTGCTCACCATGCCCATTTTTCTCCCCTTTCCTCAGGAATCCTCTCACATCTGTGCTGCTCCCTGCTCGGTCCAGCACTTTCTCAGACCCTCACTTCTCTTCACTTTACAACAGAGGCAAGCAGTCACAGCCTTCCCTCATCAAAGCATGAAGCATGTTACTCAAAGCTCCCCTGCGTGTAAGGCAGGAACCAAAGGCCTAAGGGGTCCCTGTGAGATTCCACACACACAAGGTTTACTGATTTGAAAAAGCCAACAAAAATGAAATTTAAGCTCCTTCCTTTAGGAAAGATGGAAAAGAAAAGGAAACACACACTAGTGATAGACACAGGAAGTAGATCAGCAGTACGGGCTTGGAGCCTGAAGTGGACGGTGAAGGAAGCAACAAACACTATTCAAAGCTCGTCTGTTCAAGTGAGCAGCTGCTTGTGGGTGAGAAGCCATCTCCATAGCTGCCTGTGCTGCTTCCAAAACTACAGAGTGGAAAAAAATGAATAATTTTCAGACAAGAAACAAACACCCACCTCTCTATTTCCAAACAGCATCCCTCTTAAAACCCAAATGTTCATGTTCTGAAGGTAGCCAATATCATATAGACTAAGCACGTATGATTTGAGACATCTCTTCAAATGCAAAATAATGATACAGGAGGATACCACTTGGAGATTCCAGAACTGGCTAAAAGTTAATGGTACTAGCAATCAAAAAGTGGTTACCAAGGAAGGATTGAAGAGGGGCTTAAGGGTTATAAAAACCATACAGAATGTGGCTGACAGTCTGGCTCAGTAGAGTGCTTGACTATGAAGTACAAAGCCCAGGGGTCCAATCTTTAGTACTACATGAACTGGGTCTGGTGAGGAACACTAACTCTAATCATGGCACTTAGGAGGCGAAGACAGGACAATCTGGTGTTCAAAATCACTCTTGGCAACAGGGTGAGTTTGAGGACAGTGTGGAATACACAAGACAGTTTAAAAAGCAACACATATGGAAACCAGATATGCTCATGTATATCTGTGACCCCAGGTTTAAAGCAGCTCAGGCAGGGTAATATGAGTCTGAGACAGTACCAACCAGCCCCTGTCACTCCCCCAATCCACATAGATCTAGTTTGTTAAGCTGCATATTTGGCCACATTTCATGTAAAAATGGCATCAGATGGTAAGATCCAGAGTCCAGACCCAATCTTTTACCTTTGAGTCAAAAATTCTCTACATTTCAAATTAAAAATCTATCCAATCATTAATTTATCAAATTTGTATGACAAAGTCAAGCTTTGCTCAGGAGACTAGAGTCACAGTGATGAGCAGAGTTGAGAAATTGTTGGCTGCACTGCACTGAGGACTGTGGCACATTGGAATCCCATTTACTATACACTAAACTACAGCTTGCTAGAGGAATTCCATGACAAAAAGGTAATTAGTCAATGTGAGAGATGCCCCCAAATGATCCGGGGAGGGGTGCCCCTTCCTCCTCCAACCATAGAGACCAACAGCAGAAACCCCTCTGCAGCATCCTCTCCAGAAGTGTACGAGAGGTCTAAATGGTGTCTGTTTGGCTAGTCAGCAGCTCTTTTCATGTTCAACATCAGGCTGGATGAGCAGAAAGAACAGGGACATAGGTGGAAAAGAGAAGACAAGACTGAGGCGAAGATATGGCGGAGACCAAACCCTATGGTTGTATCACCGAAGAGCTTTAGGTAAGTCTCCTGTCTTAGTTTGCTTTCTTTTGCTATGATCAACCATTCTGACCAAATGCAATCTGGAGAGGAAAAGGCTAATTTAGATGACACATTTTGATCATAGTTCATGACTGAGGGAAGTCAAGGCAGGAGTCAAGCCAGGAACCTAGGAACTAGAGACCATGGAGGGGTGCTGCTTACTGGCTATCCCTTCACAGTGTGCTCCGATGATTCTCTTATACAACTGGGACCACCTACCCATGTGTGGCATCACTCCCAGTCAGCTGGGCCCTCCAACACCAATCATTAATCAAGAAAAAGCCCTACAGATTTGCCTACAGACAATCTGATGGAGGCACCTACCTCAGTTTAAGGGAGAAAGCACCCTCCCTGCAGCAGGCCAGCCCCCTGCCTCAGCAATCTTTCCATCTCTAATGGGAGTTGTTCTTAAAAAGTGTTTTCTTTCTCCTCTGTTGTTTCCACCCACATTCCTCCAGAATAAAACAAATATATGACAGTGTAAAATTTTGTATAAATTACCACCTAATCACAAAGGGCGGTGGTGGTGTACACCTTTAGTACTGCTGTGAGTTTAAGGCCAGCCCTGGTCAGGCTCCAAAGCTACACAGACACCCTGTCTTGAAAAACCAAAAACCAAACAAAACAAAATAAAACATACCTGATCATGAAGTCAACTTGTTTTGGCACTCATAATCAAACCCAGGCCTCAGGCACCCTAGGTACCCACTCACCACTAAGCAGAAGTACCAGCAGATCTTAAAGGATCATCAAGCCCTGTCTGAATTTTCCTCAACGATTATGACAGATGTTTATGTTTTCTGCTACTCACTTTCATATTATCTGAGCCTTCTGCAATGAGCTTGGGTTATTTTGTTATCAAAAACAAAGACTTTTAGATACAGCGTGAAAACTGTGAACATGTTTTATATTAAAATAATCTTGTGGGTTGTTTTAATTAACGACAAGGAAACCTTACAGTGTCTTCAAATTACCAGTAGAATTAAGACCTACTAAGTGCTGCAGCCAAGGAGCTGCCTTTTAAAGCCTGTTCACCTCCTCAAGACATCTGTGCACTGATGCAGAAATAACTGTTCTAAACACAGCTTAAAGCAACAAGGAGGCACTTGGACTGCTGAGCAGCCTTGCAAAATCTTCTTAAAGGGCTCCTATGTAAACAACAAAGAATGAACACTAGTGCTTATACAAAATCCAAAATTAAAAGCTTTAACAAGTTTTAAGGTTACCATTTTACAAAAGGCTTAGAAATATCTCTCTTGTGGGGCAGTGGTGAAGCATGCCTTTAGTACCAGCAGAGGCAGGTGGATTTACAAAGCTACACAGAAACTCTATCTCAAAAAATCAAAACATAAACAAAACCTTTCCTAGTTTTAGGAGGGGAAGGATGCTCTTAAACTACATATGAAATGCATGTGAAAATGCATGGGTTGCAGATGTAGTCCATTGGTGAAGCATTTGCCTAGTGTGAACAAGGCCCTGGGTTCAATCCTTACCACTGCAAAATAAAACAAGTGCAGGGACTAGAGAGTTGGCTCAGTGGTTAGGAGCACTGACTGGTCTTCCAGAGGACCCAGGTTCAGGTCCCAGCTGACTCACAACCACCCTTACTTAATTCCATTTCCAGGGGTTCTGATGTCCTCTTTTAACCTCTGCTGGCACTGCACACATGTCAAGCATACACACACATACATACAAGATAAAATATTTTTTTAAGAAAAGAAAAAAGTACAACAGAAGGCAGAAATTAAAATCATGTGTTCATCCCATCCCCATACAACTGTCACTAGTTTCTTTCAGGTCCTATGAGGGGAATGGTTTTCCATAAGGAGTGGGCTTGCCTGGTAAGCAGCTGCTGGGCGCATGTGTGCCTACACTCTGTTCATTTGCTAGGCAGTGCATTTTTACACACTTCAGAGAAAGGGAGAAAGGTTAAAAGGAGAGGCCAGAGGACAAGCCAAGTAACTCGAAACTCAGGAAAGCAGCAGCAAATGTCTAACCCAGAAGTGCTGGATATCAGAGCACACAGGTGAGCCACTTAGGAACAGGTTACAACTGCAGTTCCAGAGAAAGAAATTCAAGCAGTACTCCACAGCACTTTATTTTTTTAGACAGGGTTTATTTGTGTAACAGCCTTGGCTGTCCTGAAACTCACCCTGTAGCCCAGGCTGGCCTCAGACTCAGAGATCTGCCTGCCTCTGCCTCCTGAGTGCTGGGATTAAAGGCATACACCACCACCTGGCTTCCACAGCACTTTCTGAACACCACAGGAATGACAGAAACCCTATGGTATTAACATATTTCCCAGAAAAGAACCCCTTTCCTTAAAGAAAAAAAGGACCCACCTATTTCCCAGCTCTTGTGCCCAAATCAACCCTATTTCAGGAACAAATGGGAAAAGTGTCTTTTTAAGTCACAATCTTGCTAGCAGTCTGTTAGCATAGGTTGGCATCAAATTTTGAAAAGAAATGGGAAAAGGATTCGTTTTTATTTTATTTTTTGCCGTCAAGTATGTTTGCGTACTCTGAGGGTGCCTACTGTCTGAAGCCAGAAAAGGGCATTGGAACCCCTGGACCTGGAGTTATAGATGACTATGTGAGTTGCCATGCAAGTGCCTGGAATCCGAATCTAAAGGGGTCCTCTGCAAGAAGAGCAAACACTTGTATCTACTGAGCCATTTCTCCAACCCGTAACCCCAGTATCAAACTGTTGATCCTCCAGCTTCAGCCTGACCCCACGAGGGCTGGGATTACAGGCAGGAGCCATCACCCCAGCGTCATTTTGTTTATTTTAAAGATTTATTTATTATTGTGTGTATACCTGCAGGTGTTTATGTATGCCTCAGTGCCCATGGAGGCCAGAAGAGGGCAGCAGCAGATCCCCTAGAGCTGGAGTTGTAGGTGGCTGTGAGGAACCAAACCCAAGTCCTGTGAAACAAAAGAATTCTTAACTGTGAGCTATCTCTCCAGTCTTCTCATTTTATTTATTTATTTATTTTTTTGGTAACAATAACTACTCCACAAAAAACAAACAAATAAATAAATAAAGCTAGGAGCAGCTTTTTTTTTTAAAAAGTTTTTCCAGGGTTTCTCTGTATTGCTTTGGAGCCTGTCCTCAAACTGACAGAGATCCACCTGCCTCTGCCTCCCGAGTGCTGGGATTAAAGGTGTGCGCCATCAACAACACCTGGCTATAAAGCTAGGAGCTTTTAAAACCAATCTATTCTATGTAGCTCATGCTTACTTGAGAACTCATTATATATCTCAAGCTGGCTTCAAACTTGTAACAATCTTCTTGCCTCCACCTCCTGAATGTTGAGATTAGAAGTCTGTGATATTATGCCCTAAAAAGTCTTTTAAAAAGCAAAAATACCTTTGTCTTCTTATGGAAACAAAGGCAACAACAACTTTCTCCACTATTTGTTCTTTGTCTCTATTCATAACTACCTTCTCTGCCTTGGAACTTTGCATCTGTGTTTTAACATTTATTTCTAACATCAGTGCCCCAAATATCATGCTAGGATGCTGGCTTTAAAAGGCTCTTGTAGACCTGGTCTCAAACTTACAGAGATCCCCCTGTCTCTGCTCTTTGAATACTGGGATCCAGGCATGTACCACCTCACACCATTTTGAGGGTAATTTATCTCCTGGCCAGGTGGACTCTGACTGAGGTAAAGACATGGAAATGAGTCTGAGCTGAAACACAGGACAAAGCTAACTTTCATTTGCTGTCACTTTCCTGTGTTAGCCTGAACCATACGTCAGGGTTATAGTTATGCCCCTGCCAACATCTGGGCTGAGGCACTCTAGCTACTTAAAGCACTGCTCGGCATTACTCCAGATCCCAAACCACTTTCTGCAGGAAGTCCTAGTTGTCACCACATAAGCACTGAGCAACCCCCTTAGTGCTCAGAGAAGAGAAGGAACTCTTGTATATTTGTGTTTGCCATGTAAACACATGGGCCAGTGAGCTGAATATCTGGCCTGCCAGCCAGGCTCTATCAGAGGCCATGTTAAGAATGATGTACAGGAATGGAAATCTGCTCTGATGTTACCAAAGTTATTTACCACTTGCTGAATGAAATTCTGTTTGAACTGGGCCTGAACTCAAGTTCTAAAGACTCCTGTCTCCATCTGTCTGTTCCCTGTGGAACAGGGAACACATTCATCTGTGCTACTACCTAGGCAGCCACACTGAGACACCCACAGTTTCTAATCATTAGCACCTCCCTGGTCATGAATAACCTCTGCTTCCTGGCCTTGGCTCAGGACTCCTTAATCCCTCAGATCTGACATCCAGAAATCATCTCCCATTCCTGTCAGAAGCACGTTGCTATGCAACTTGGACAAGTCAAATCTAAAGATACTCATGGGTGAAATAAACAGTGACAAAGTCTCTTCAAGTTACAACTAAAAGAGGCTAAACTAAAGACAGGACACACAAGACTTTAAAAAACACAATTTTGTGTTTTAGGCTGGTCCTGGTGTGCTGACACCAGACCAGGCCTGATTTTGAGACAAGTTTTAACAATTTTCATAGAAACTCATCCAGGGAAGCCTGAACTGTCTATGTCTGTGAGTTGAAATTCTAGCAAACCACAAACTGTTGGAAGAACCAATACATACCCCATTTGCAAGAGGCTTATACACACACACACACACACACACACACACACACACACACACAACTAAAGGGGGAGGTGGGAAGACTTATGCTTACTGTCATGACTAGTCTATCACTCACTTTGGAACTATAGCCCTTTAGATTCCTCTACTAAGTAAGCAGTTTACTGCTGAGTAGGTATGCTTGTGTGTGTGTGCTTACTTTTTTTTTTGTTTGTTTGTTTCAAACCCCCCTCTTCATGGCGTTTCAACTGCTAACATGGTCACAGGACTTCTAAAACTTTCCTCCATGTCACATGGCTATGTGGTGGAATCAAGTATTTGCATAAATGATTTCTGGAGCAATATGACTTTGCCTGCTGGGTCAGACAAACACTAAATGGGGTTTTATGTTTACAGTACCTTGACAAAGGAAACCTGTAACTGGCAACTCTCTCTCGATTAGCAGCACTCTAGGCACCACAGTTAGCCACATTGTTAGGATGTTGTTATTCTTTTCTTTCAAGTCCAAAGGGTGACAAGAATGACCCAAAAGCACATGGCTCAAGGACTTGGCAGAGTTAACAGATCAATAAAACAGCCAAAGTTTATGTTTATTGCAGCCTGCGCTCCCCAAGCCTTGGGTTTTGACAACAGTGGGGCAAGTAGGTATTTGCTGGAGATTCAGGAAAGGCAGAGTACCCACTCCACAACAGCGCTCCAATTTTCCCAGAAAACAAACAGTACTGGCCATAGATCCACTCTTCTCCTTGGCAAGTGTTTCTTCCAACTCAGAAGAGACAAGACAGAGTCGATTATAGGGGGTCAGCTTGGCTAGTAGACAGAAATGGAAGATTTCCATTTGCCGGAATACCAAAAGTACTACAGGAATGAAAAGACACCGAAGAATCCCAAGCAGGGTCCTCGGCTTTCACGAGGACATCAAGTCGGCAACTACCACGGGCGCAACAAGTCCCCAAAGAGAAGCGGGAGCTAGACGAGACAACCAGACCCCTCACTTCCAGCAAACCCATAGAATGCCACCTTTCCATTTCCAATGCCTGCGATCACTGACTGAGGGTCCCTGGAAAGGCCAATTGCCGACGCCCCTCCATGCCCCTCGCCGCCCCACGGAACCACTGGGCGCTTCTAAGAAGCGCGGCCGCGCAGAGGTCTGTAGAAGGACGCGCTCTCACGGCCTCTCACGGCTGGCTATAGCCCTCGGGTCGCGGCTGCGACCTTCCCACCGCCCCGACTTGCACCCACCGAGGCCCCGGCTGCCTCACCTCGGACGGGAGCCGGTGGCAGGGGACGGCGTCGCGGGGTTCAGCGCATCCTGGAAGAGCCGAGAAGCCGGACGTGGAACTGCGGGGACCCCGCGACGGGTTATGTAACCGGCAGGGGCCGCAGCCGGGATGGAGAAGGCGGCCCCGCGGCACTTCCGCCTCTCGTGCCCTGCCGGTGGCTCAGCCCGGAAGATCATTGGCCGCTGCACCACGTGGTGCCACCCTCCCTGACGCTGACGCCACCATCTTGGGAGTGGGCCTCGGCAGCTGTCCCAGGCTTGCGTGATCCCAAAGCTGGCCGCACCGTCTGCGGAAGCGCGAGACAGCTGCTAGCTGCTGTGGTTTGAGTGCGTGGACGCAGGTGGCGGTCCCGGATTTCTGTGCCCTTCCGCGATCAAGCAGGTCAGAGAAGCCAGAAGGCCTCCCAGACGCTGAACCGCAGGGCCCGCCGCTGGCCTGTTCTTCCCTCCCTGGAGGTTAGTAGACGCCAGCGGCCGTGATTTCAGAAGCCCTGATTCTATGGCACCGCCTTGCACTCGCGCTGACGGCCTCAGAAGGGAAGTGCTGCCACTGCAATAGGCTTTCAGGACAGGGTGGGGGTGTGAGGATTCTATATCCAGATGTAATCCAAAGATAATTCAGTTCTCGTTATCAGGAAACCCGTGCTGACAAAGTTTATCCTTCGCTTTCAGATAACTACAGTGACCCACACAACAAAAGCAAGAACAGAAACTTTGCAGCCAAGGGCTAAAATAGCCCTGAAAAGCGTTGTAAATATCCAAGATAACACATCAGAACCTTTCGTGTCTCAACTGTGTAAAACAGCACCCTCTTTGAAATATCAAAGCCGTATTCTTTTGACATTTTTGAAAAGTAAGGTGTTCCTCAGGATTTTATAATTTGGGGGTGGCATCTGTATCTAAATAGTAGAAGGCTACCTACCTTATGTATGGGGCTGGGTTCCATCCTCTGCAACACACACACACACACACACACACACACACACACACACACACACACACACACACAAGGCCTAACCCTAACCAACACACAAGACCAAGATGATAAAAGTCAAGTACGACTAGTTATCTTGCCCGTGTAGTATGTTGAATATGGCTGTCAGAATTTATGTAAGCAGCCTGTATTTGTATTTTCTTTTTTATGACAGTATAAATTGTTAATTTTAAAGGAGAAATCGAAAATCACTCGGACAAAATGAAGACTTTAAACTTACAACTTTGAAGTATCACAAACATGCTACTGTGTACAACAGTGGTGATAAGAATGTTTGGACCCATTCAGGTCATTTTGAGCCTTCAATACAATTATGCATGGTGTGTCATTACTGAAAGTATTTCTAATTAAACTTGCTGCAGAAAAATATTTAAGATTGATCTTGATGTGATCTTGGCACATACCTGTAATGCCAGCGCAGGGAAGGCTGGAGCAAGAGGGAATGGGATGTATGCAACTCCTGTCACAGTCCTGAAATAATGTTGCTAAAATATCAATGATAAAACTGTGTTAAATGTACACTCCATCTCTTAGTATTCAGATTTGAAGTAAACAGGTGAAACTATGAAAAGGAAATTGCCTACTCTCCTTTCACCTCTACCCCCTTCCCATTTTCTACCTGCTAGAAATTAGTGGTAAACTCATTCAGTGGCAGAGGAGAGGCAAACCCTACCTGCATCCTCATTACTTTATCTGGGCTGGGGTTCGGCATCAGCATCACCTTAGAACTTGTTAAAAATAAAGACCCTCTCAGACTGTCTCAGTAAGAATTTGTATTTAAGTGTCAGAAGTGGCATCCAACAGGATTCACGGGTGAATGGAAAGGGTTGAACACATCCTGGGTGATGACAAGAGTAAAGACATTCTTTGACTTCCAAGGTTCTAAAATAAACTGACAAAGCCTTGATTGCAAAAATTTGAGAAATTCAAAGGTGTCTGATAAGGTCATGTGTCATAAACATACATGTGTGAATGTGTGTGGGCACATGTGTGCAGATGTGTGTGTGTATAGGCTCAGAGTTGATGTCAGATAGCTATCTTCCTTGATGCATCTCCATTTTACTGAAGCAGGGTCCTTTGAGGAAACTGGAGTTCACCAATCCCAGATAAGCCAGCCGGCCAGCTTGTCAAAGGGATTCCATCTCCACTTCCCTTGTGCTGGGATTACAGGAGGCTGCAATACCTGCCCAGCTTAATTGTGAGCTCCAGAGACCTAAATTTCTCATGCTTCTGCAGCAAGTGTTTTATTCACTAGGTCATCTCCCAGCCCTGAAACCACTATTTTTAAACACAAATGAGATGAGAAAGTGATTATTATTTTCTTAGAGCTTCCTATTACTAGATGTTGTGTTAAGCAAGTCTCATTTATCCTCAGGACAAGTTCAGCACTGTGATACTACAATGACAGTAAAGATAGCTAACCCCTAAAAAGCAATTCTTAACCTGAGCCTCCATTTCGAAGTCATCTACAAGTTTTAATTAGTTAATGTCATTTTGTTCTCCCTTGGCTCACTGGTTAGTTAAGCTAAGCAGGATAAGGGGCTGTCTTCTGGTCATTGGAATTAATCTGAGTCAGCACAGTGCAGTACTAAGCATCCAAGACTATCTTCTGATGTGTTTTAATGTATCTCCTCCACTTCAATTCAACAGGCTACTAGCTTTGTATTGACCACCCCCTCCAGCAGTCTACGGAATTGAGTCTGTTTCAGTTTGAACAAAGCTGCCATCTCCCTCTGTTGATTTCTTATCAGGAGCCGTTAAATGCTGAGTTCTGTTTCTTTTCCCTTTGGCTCCTAAGGACTTTATCAGGCATATTGATTGTTTTCCTCTGGCTTTGGGTCAGACTGCTAAAGGTACTACAGTGAGGGCAAGCTGGCAGAAGCAAGCTGCCAGGCATGGCCCTCAGAGAGAAACTCTTCATTCTGCCTTAGCTCCCTAGCGCTTCCCTAGCCTTGGAGACAAGGATGGAATCAGGCTTCTCTAGCCCAGGACCAGCAACAAGCTTTCAACTACATGTGTAGGCTCTTTCCTTCTTCTTGAAGTACCAAGAATCTCCAAAGTCAGAATCTTTCCAGAAATTGAGGCATTTTAATACTCACTGTAGTCATCTTTATGATCTTCATGCTCTATCCAGACCCTACCAGAAGAGTCCCACATTGGTCTCTTACTCCATCCCTATGTGATACTAAACCTCTTTTGGAGGGAACCAGCCCATGGCTTTACCTCTGACCTGTCTGAGGAAGGGAGTCAGTAGATGGACTATAGAGCAGAGACAGATGATCATGTTACCCTAATACTATTTAGGCAATGATGAGGAATACTGAAAGTCAGAAGACATCTACATACTCTGATTACTGAGGCTGCTCCACACACAATGATACACTGATAAACCCACCATAAGATAAAATATCACAAGCTAAAAATGCATTAAGGGCTGGGGAGAAGTTTGGTCAGTAAATTGCTTGCTGTGCAAGGATAAAGGCCTTTCAGATTCCTGGCACCCACATAACTTGGTGCAGTGTCAAACCTATAGCCACAGCATTGGGGGTTCTGAGACAGGCAGACAAACTCTAGGTTCAGTGAGAGACCCTGTCTCAAAAAACAAACAAACAAAAAACCCAAAACAAAAAAGGGTAGAGAGTCTAGTCTCCACAAGCATGCATGTACTCATCTGTACACACACACACACACACACACACACACACACACCACTAAAAGCTGTCTGTGGTGGTGCATATCTATTATTCCAGAACTTTAGGAATTGGAAGCAGGAGAATCAAGAATTTAAGGCAATCCTTAGCTGCATAGTGAATTTGAGGCCAGCTTGGGTTACATGAGACCCTCTCTCAAAAAATAAAAAAATGGAATTACTATTATTAATCTCCAAAACATCATTGCTTTGCCTACTCTAAATGTGCTTAGAACACTTACATAGGCCTCTTAATTTTGCAAAAACCAACTAACACAAAACCTGTGTTATAATAGAATATTGACATTTCATGTAATTTGTTGGCCACCTATATTCAAACAATCCTGGCAACATAGTTTACTGTAGAGTGCTGGATGATTGATTGCTCAGCTCATAGGGTTGACTGGGTGCTGTAGCACCAACTGCCCAACACCTCAGGAATGTATTGTACCACATATTGCTAGCTTTGAAAACTATTAAAAGTTGAAGTATGGTTCCCACTAAATGTGTAATGATCTATTATTGGAAAGCTGGAAAACTATTATGTGGAGGTATGCTAAGTTGGGAACCATGCATATTTCTTTAGGAAAAATTCCTAGAATGTTGGTTAAAATTGTTTTTAATTCGCCACATTTTAGCTTTGGAAACAAACCTAATTGCCTGCTAGGTAGGTTCTAAGAATGAGAAGGCTCCACCAGGGCACATGGCCAATCCCTTGCCTAGACAACTGAGGTGGAAAGGACCACATTACTTTTGTGTACAGCCTTAGTATGTTTGATCATTTTTCTCAGTTTCTTCTTGAGACAGGTTCTCATGCAACCTAGGCTGGCCTTGAGCTGTCATCTAGCCAAGGCTGGCTTTGAATTCCTGATCCTCCTGCCTCTATCTCCTAAGTATTAGTATTATATAGTTGCTAATGTGTCCAGCTCCATTTTTTTTCAGTTTAGAAGAACCATCATATTTAAACTTAACCTTTCTACTAACATGTCCAAGATGTCTTGAGTCTGACTTCCCACAAAGTGATTTTCTGACACTAAACCATTTTTTAGAAAGTAGCAATGCATATCTGTGACAAACATTTTAGATAGAATTAAGAGATTCCTAGTGAAAAATTTTCCTCTATCTGACTCTAGTACTAAAAGTCTCAGGTAATGTTTACCAGTTTCCTGGCATCTTTTCAGGGATCTTATTCTCAGAGTAAAACAGTCTGTTCAGAAATAAAATCCAAGTGTGTACTTGACTGGGATGACAAACACTTGTAATTCCAGGACTTCTGAGTCAGGGTAACCAGGAATTTGAGACCAGCCTCAGCTTAATAATAAGTTCTAGGCTTAAGCCTGGAAGACCATGAGACCATATTTCAAAAACAGTGGAGCTGGGGAAATGGACCAATATAAAGCACAAGAACCTGAATTTGACCCTTAGAAGTCACAGAAAACAAACAAAAACCAAAAAGAAAGGTGTG